CACACAAACACACACAGACACACACACACTGGGCTCAGCTGTTTTCATGAGCTGTCAGCTCTCTAAGCAGCAGATTGATGTCCGTGTTTGCAGCCAGACGCAGAGCTAACCAGCCGACTGTCAGAGCAGTGACCTGCTGCCACGCCGTCTGGTTTCCACGACTCCGGCTCTGTGCTGAGCTACAAAGGTCCCGGAAGCACCGAGAAGAAACTATGGAACAACAGGACTTTACAAGCTGCCCGACCCTGTAGATGCTAAATGCTTCTGTAGTTTCCTGTGAACAAATCTAATCTAATCATCTGATCACACGCTGCATTATAAGGACAGTGAAACCAGCAGGATCTGCACTTAGTTTTTAGTAAATTTGCACCATTTAAATAACTCAAAGTTAAATAACAGCTTCTACATACGCCTGCTCGTTCAGAATTAAGACTTCTAATCTGTCTCAGTCGTCTCTGAGCTGCCTGTGAAAAGAGGACATCTGAGATTTAGTATCTGTAGCTGTGAAGAAGAAACAGTCACGATGACTAAACAATGATACGACCACCTCCAGAGTCTCCTCCTGTCAGTCCCACCGGCTGCAGTTCACCTAGGGGGCGCCCACGAGACGGTCCTCACTAAAAAGGAGTGAATGAAGCTAAACGGCTAAAATAATCATTAAGACAAAAAACAACAATAAATAATTTTGTCTTGTTTTGTTTTACAAATCCAGCATCAGTGATGTGCTTCAGTTTTACAGGATGATATTAAGATCTGACGCCTGCTTTGAAACAATAACTCGCACGCGTGCAGAAGACACAGCTGACTGTGGCGGTTGGGAAATGGTTTGAGGTGCAGTGACGTTAGAACATGCTAATAATGACAAACTGGAGCTATCGGCTGAAACAGGATAATATTAGAGAACATGTTTCCAGGCCAGAGCTCCACAGCGCCCCCAACCTAAACAGCGCCCCCATCAGGCAGGACGTCCAGAGAGCACCGGTGTAGCTGCCAGCAGGAATCTCTAAACTATGACCGCAGGGAGACGTCACCTCCAGAGGACTGTAGCTGTAGTGCGGCTGGTAGATCATCAGATCGGGTCTCTCGATGTCCAGGATGGCTTTGTCTCTCGGTAAGGCTGCCAAGTCCTTATAGCCGATAACCCCGTCCTCCACTCTGGCCTGGGGAGAGAGGGGGGGGGGGATTACAGATTATTACCTCCAGATTAATCTGAAGGGTACGAGAGCGCGAGCACGGTGTGTTTATCTCACCACGATGGCAGCAGCAGGGGATCCTGGGACGCTGGTGCCTCTGAGCGACAACACACTCCCCGGGGACGTCTGCGCCAGCTGCTGCTAACACACACACACACACACACACACACACACACACACACACACACACACACGCTTGTACTTGTGTCTTTGTGAGGACTATTACTGCCTCAGAGCCTAACTCGAACCTTTCCTTCCTAAAGTTGCAGGAGAAACGTCCTCACTGTCAGCTTTATTATTTCCAAACTGGATTTGAAAAGTTCTGTAACTTTATTTGTTAAATTAAAAACCACCCAGATGTAAATTTGGCCAATCCTCCCTTCAGCATCGCCTCCTCGTGCACCTCTGGACCTCAACACCAAACATCGACTCATCTTTAAGCTGAGACGCTTCTCGTGTGGAGGAACATCGTCACTGAACCACCAGGAGGACGCTTGTTTTTATGGTTGAGCATCGTGATCATTCAGCAGAAACATGCTGCAGCATCTCAACAACACGCCCCCCCCCCCGACAACTATCAGCAAAAGAAAGGTGTGGTTTACCTTGGGCATCATCCTGACTGCTGATTGGTCAGTTCCTGAAGGAGACACACAAAACATGATGTTAAATAAAGAACAACAAGTCAGACGTGTCAGTACGACAAAGCAGGAGAGGCCAGAAAGAGTGAGGCATCATGGGAACATCAGCACGTGTAACAGCTGCTCCGGTCCACTCATGAAACATGAATCTGACAACAATCTCCTTTTTTGTTCTTTTACTGTGTGCATCAGTGTTTCTGTCTGTGATGGAGAGGCTGACACTGAGCAGAGCCTCGCGCTCATACGAACAGTAAATAACCGCCGGCGTGGGGAACGCCTCCACGTGTCATGGCTGTGAGACACAAACCCTACGAGGGCACGAGATTCACATCTCGTTTCTTATTTGTGGCCCTGTGGATCCTTCTCTATCCGGGGCCCTGGTGCATCCCTCATCCTCCGGCTAAAACAAGACACCTCCCAACTTCCAGAGAGCCTGCAGACGGGCTCGTTATCTAATGATTAGGCCTTATAAATCAGGGAAATGCAGAAAAAGACGCTTTAAAGAAACAAACATGGCTCTGAAAGTCATTCAGACTCACTGCTCACCAGCCGTTATCTGTTTAACAGCACAGAGCATGTGCAGGAGACCGCTGTGCTGCAGCTGCCAGGCTGACCACGCCCAGGGCCTCTGCACTGGGATCACAAATGAAATGAGCTCCAAATGACGGCGTGCTGTCAGATTACTGAGTGGACACTCAGCGCTCTGCAGCAGCTGCAGGGTTTCCAGTCCGGCATTGTCTGACGTGGCCGACGGACACAAAGGGATTATTCCAGAGTCCACAGCTTTGTCACAAACACATGAGCGAGGACACCTGGGTAACAAGCGGTCAGCCAGCAGAGTGTGTGTGTGTGTGTGTGTGTGAGTGTGTGTGTGTGTGAGTGTGTGTGTGTGTGGGGTTACCTCAGGGAGATAAAGGGATCATGTCTGTTCGTCTTCGGGTGTCTTCAGCACCTGAAACACAAACACAGGTGACGCTGGGACAAACTCATGAACTTAATCTTCAAACTCGAACTCTGAAAACTTTATTTTTTACTGGTTCTCACCAATATAATCAGATGCAGCAGGAAACTGTAAACAGTGAGACTTTTATACGTTTATAAATCTGTAAATTAACACATGAAGTTCTCAGATTGATTTGTTTTAAATAAGTATTCTTAATCTTTATCAGCAGTTTCAAAACTATAAAATTACATTTTTGTCAACATTTACTCAGTTTGTCACTAATTACATCAGACATGATTCAGACTTTCACATTTCTAAATCATTTCTGGAGAAGTTTCTGGAAGTTTTCACGTCCTCTACCCGGAGTGGAAATATTTATTTATTTATTTATTTATAAATATCCTTCAGAGTTGACAATCCTCTGCTGTTGTTCTGTCCCATTAAACTCAGCTTAAGTTGGGTTTAAAGTCAGAACAGAATCAGGTAAAAGGA